TAATCAGAACAAAACGAATAGGTCTTTCCACAGAAAAGTGGAAAGACCTAATAAGGAGATTGTCTACTTGATTAAAAAAAGTCTCCCTGTTGATTATCCAATGTTTAAACTTTCATATTTATGCGAAACGCTTGCTTTAAAGTAAGTTCAACTCATAGTACTGCAACTGACCTCGAAAAAGACGCTAATTCAACTAGTTTAATGTACCGGAGTAACACACGGCTGTAAATTGTTTTGAATGATAAAAGAATATAAAATGTTGAGTCTGTTTATGGGGTATCCCTCAGTTTATGATTTTGGGTAGTCGCTTTAAAATTAAAAAAAAAATAATGTTTTATTCAATTCTATCCTCTGTTCGTAAATACATATTCGATGCAAGGGTCATCAGAATGATGAAGACTTAAATAATAAAATGAAATATTAAAACTTAAAGTTGCCAGGTTTTTAGCTGGAAATGTAACGCATTTTTCTTTGAAAACGAGAAAACATATGATTCAAAAACATTATTTAATATTTGAGTGGGGAGAATATGTAATGAGATACTGCAAAGTTTGATGGACAAACTGCAAATAGTTTTGTTGAAATTCAAGAAATAAAAACATCACCTATATATTTTTTTAACTACGCAAATTTCATATCCGTCATTCACATCCATTATTCTTAGTAACATTTATCAAGTTTAATTATTAGGACGTTTTGTTCAACAATAAATTTGATAGTTTTTACGTCATTTTGTACCTAATCTGTGAATTATTATATATTTTTGAGTTTTTTAAGTGTGCTTTGGTCACATAATTATTGTAGTTCCTTTTCAGTAAATAAGTTATAATTTTTCTGCTTAAATTTTGACTTTTTATAAAAGTTAACCTAATCCTTTGGATAAGATTTTGTTCCGGATAATGGCTAGTTTTGATAGTCCTGTAAAGTTTACTCCTACGATTCCAAAAAAGGAAAACGAATGAGGTTGAGTTGTATCAATGCATTTTGTGTCAATGTTCGTCACAAGAGCAATTAATATGTATGTGAGCGGTCGTGAAAAAATATTATTGAAGCAAGGATGCCCGCAGAGTTTAATGCAGAAATGAGATTAAATTTGAATATACTGCTCCCAAACAAAAACCCTCATGAGGAAACTAGACCAACTGCCTAACTGCGAGATGAAGAGCATGACAAACTTATCATAAACTATGCTAACCAGCGACTGCAAATCCTTTTGATGTAAAGTATCTTACTTCTTATGCAGCAAAAATCCTGCAATCTGATTGGTTAATTACCCGGGTGTAAATAGCACCCCACCCTTGTTCACCGGGAATAAATAAAATGTTGCCAAAAATTCCAAAAAATTTAAATTTTGCCAAAATTTAGGGGGGAAAAAAAATAAATTTGAGGACAAAAAATTTATAAAAAATTAAAAAATTAAAATTTTGTTTTTCTTCACAAAATTAAAAAAACTCAAAAAATTTCCAAATTTCCCAAAAAATAAAGAAAAAAAGTATTTGACAATGCGCAGCAACATCGGTGTTGAAAAAATGTTGCACTGGAAATTCTTCATTAGCATTTTTCAATTTTACATCCCAGTTTAAAATGAGTAAAGGAAACGCTTCGTAAGAAATAAATTCGTTATCTTGGTGTAATCAGGGGTGTATGAATTTTCCACACCGGTGTAAAATTCTGTACACCCCTGCTTACACCAAGATAACTAATAATCTCGTCACCGATCAACATCTCAACTGGAATGCAAGCGCCTAAAGAAATTGGATCCTCAATGACAAAAGCATTTGATGATGGTAAAAAAAATGTCAAATCGTTTGTCGATGGTGCGTTGGAAGAAGGTGACAACTGTGACTTCTATGGCCAAATGTCTAGATCAGAAATCAAAACATTCGAAGACTTAACAAAAAAATCTAAAATCAAGTGCAGGTCAGGAGGGATACTAAATGTACAACAAATGTACATATAAGTCCAGAATAAGTGGCCTAGTTACTGCTGGGTGTCGTGAAGACATTTAAATAGAGAAGGTTCTATCACTCTCAATTTGCTCAACTCTCTGTTCCTCCCTTCCTTTTCCACGGAACGGCACCATGCTAAAACATGTAAGGTCAATCTTTGTCATGAAATAGAAGCAGAATTTAAATCTGTATTTCAGCATCAGTTGGCACCGTATGATCGATCCGCTACCGTACTTATAAGGAACTTAATAGCCTTAGTAAAGTTGTTAAATGTAAAAACATTTCTAGCTGATACTTATGTTGACCCGATTGCTGTGATGAATTTTCTTCAGCATAGGGTACTAACTTTCAGGATTAAGTCAGGACACACGACTAAATACCGAATGATCCTGCATGTCATATTTGGTGACCGAGAGATTGGATGGAAAAACAAGAAGGTTCGAATAGGTCAAAAGTCTCTAGATACAGATGTTCCATTCTTTGTGTGCATTTCTTCGAATTCCCTACGTTGCAAAACAGCCAGGAACTGTTGTTTCGTAATTCATATATCTTAGCCTTTTTGGGGTCCTCAATGGTCTTCAACTTCGTTCTTTTTTTGGCCTTTTTAACTTTTTTTATTCGAGCGTCTCAAATGAATGTTTTGTAAACAAAACGCCCGTCTGACGTACAAAATTTCATCCGAGTATATATGATGAGTTTATTCAAACTGGGACAATAGTCAGCAATAAATATGGTCGTAGATTCCTCCCTGCAATGTCTTTATATTACTTACAAGATTTACTTTGAACCTGTAAATCTGTCTTGCACCGAACTTTGTCCGTGTTAAGGCGACGAAGCGTGTTAAAACGCTTACTGGTTTCGCAAACAATGACGAAGAGATTGGCGTGTAGCTAAGATTCTTGTATATACTTTCTCAAAGTGAAGCATATTTTACTGTTTACCCTTATTTGATGAAAACCAAAGCTAATGTTTGTAGCCCTTCAAAGACAAGTTATATAAGGATCTAGACCGATTGTCAAATTACAACATTAGCAAATTGTCATTATTCTATACAAAGCACAAAAATGTCGACATTCACCTCAAAAGCTAACCAAACCTTTAAACAGACTTATTCAGAAGGGATATAGTTACGATACTGTTGTCAGATCATTAAAGATGGCATATTTTGGTATTATTGATTCACTCATAGGGTCTTTGCATCGGAAATAAACACATTTATTCTAAAACAAGTTGTTGGCATGATACGGGTTATGTTCTTGTCATTTATTTCATGATGGAATGATACTAAACCCTCAACGGGAGGGATTGTGCTTGATTTTCATATGATGAAGACATAATCTTTCAATCAGTTCAATTGAGGTCTGGAGCTGGCATGTCAGTAACTGCTAGTAGTCCCATGTTAATTTATGTATCATTGTCATTTTACTTAGTTTCTTTTGTTACCTATTCTGACATCGGACTCGTACTTCTTTTAAACTGAGTTTTACTGTGCGTATAGCTGTGTGTTTGTTTATTCTACATTGGCTAGAGGTATAGGGGGAGGGTTGAGGTCTCACAAAACATGTTTAACCCCGTCGCATTTTTGCGCCTGTCCCAAGTCAGGAGCATCTGGCCTTTGTTAGTCTTGCACGTTTTTTTAATTTTAGTTCATTTATATGTTTCGGAGTTTAGTGTGACGTCCATTTTCATTGAACTAGTACACATTTCATTTGGGGGCCAGCTGAAGCCCGCCTCCAGGTGCGGGATTTTTTCGCTGTGTTGAAGACCCATTGGTGACCTTCGGTTGTTTTCTGCTCTTTGGTCGGGTTGTTGTCTCTTTGACACATTCCCAATTTCCATTCTCAATTTTATTATTATAATAAATCACTTTGCTAAAAAAAAACCAATGAGACTACACATTTTTAACAGGATAATCCCGCAAAAAAAATGTTCATGGCATAAAACTAATGTTGTTTTACACTGAACCAACAAAGCAAGTTACACCTTTTTTAAACCTCGCTTTTGCCTCTGTGGACAATATTTTTCCATTTGGTTTATAACTGATCTTTCGACTTTAAGTACATGATATCTGTGAATCTATTACCACATACTAATTTCCAAAATACACATCCTGTGTATGCAAAATAGAAAAACACAGTTTCAGTGTTTGAATTTTATTTTTTTTAAATGAAGAAAGATAACTGAAATATATCGAGAAACTGCTAATTTACAATTTAGAAAATAATTCTGTTATATGCTGCGGTGATAAATGATAAGCAATGAAAAAGTCATTGGATGTGAAAAGGTCATAGCCACAACTACATTTTCTTTGTCATAAAATGGGGACAAAAAATCAGAGGATTCATCATTGACGCCATTTTGTAATGGCAGCTGTTCATACAAATAGCTAAACTAGTTGTTTTGTCGTCCTTTGCAGTAGTATATGCTTGTTAATAAATCGTTTTTGTAGCATTCTACTGAATATATTTCAGAAAATTCCTTCTTTTTTCTTCATGTTTGAGGTTTGACTTTGAACTCTATTTCGCAAAAAATTTGACCACTCTGGTTTTTTACTACCTTAACTTTTCTTTCTTATTGTACACATGTTCCTCTTTCCATCGATATGCAATATAGGTGTGAGTATTTCCGGTACATTAAAGTTTTAAAAAAATGAACTCTGATTGCAGTACTATGAGGCAATATGTTCATTTGTAATAAGAATTATATGTCACCTATTACACTATTTGATGCAAATCAACGCACATACTTTGAGTTCCAATATCAGAATACTTTTTTGTTAAATTTTTAATCATACTTTATTACTAATCACCTGTTACATAAACCCTAAGTCGTCCACGGAAGCAACTAAGGGGACCCTGCATTATTACATAGTCTCATTTGTCGGAACATGCAAATGAGGGGAAAAAATTACCATTATAAACAATCATGGTCTAACTATATATTCATAAATAACGCCATATACAAACATTTGAACAAAGTATTCATTTTATCTGTATATTTGTTCTCTTAAGAGCTACCGGTATATACTTTTTTCTTCTTTATTATTTGCAGTTCCAACTTTCATTGATTCAACAGTCACGTTAACCTGCACTTTATCAGGAACAACTTTATATTGGTATATAATAGATAAGAATGGATTGCGAACATTATCAGACAACGACAAATACGATATTTCTTCAACTAATTCTTTGAAAATAATAACTATCACAGCAGATGATTTTGCTATTTACTACTGTCAGCCGCTAAATGGAATGAAAGGACCGCAAATTACAGTATCTTTATCAGGTAAATGCGTTGTTTTCATGAATATAATTTCTATGATAGGTCTAAGTTTTAACTACTGGTAGACGATGGGCAATATGTTTACATACACTTAAATCTTGGTCTACTCAAACGAACATAGAATAACTATGAAATAAAGCCAAAAACTATGTGTGATATCAGCCCAGTAAAGCATTTATTAATTTTATTACATATAACTTATGTTAATATTTTTGAACTGCATGTCCTTCATTGTTGTTCTTAGCAGTTTCCTTATCATTATATTTACAATACACAATCTACAAAAAAAAATATTTAATTACTATTATTTATTATTACTAGTTATGTATTACTATGTTAATTCTTAAATTCTTAAATACGCACCCATTTCTATCAGTATTAGTCGAGTGACATTAACCACACATCTTCATGTTTAATGCACCACCCTAACATACGGTTAAATCATATACCATTCGAAAGCATATCATCTGTACTATCTTTTTTGTCCGGTCGTCAAATATTCGTACGGTGCATTTTTTGTCAAATCGCGATGAAAGGTCAAGGACGGACAATTTCTAATTTTACAAGACGTCCGTATTTTTGCATATTCTGTCTTTGAAATAATAAAATTCTGAATGGAAATGTGAAAAACTTTAAGAACAGAGACTATTTGTCAATTATCAAACACACTTTAAACTACTAATGACGTATTTCTAATTGATAGCGCCGTTTTCCAGAAATTACAGTGAAAATGATAAAAATGAGTGAAAACCAAAATATTTGTCTGTGATTTAATTGATAATAGATATAAAATTAAATAACATATTTCATTTGGTGCTAAGGAAGATTTTGGCATCATCATATTACTGCAATCACACTTCTTGCTAATTACACAACCAATCATAACAACCTATACAGTTGCCCAAAATACAAAAATCTGCAAAAAGATTGCTTTTTAGTTGTTTTAAGTGAACAAAGATATGTAGTCAATATTAGGTTGAAGAAACACAATTTAGAAATGCAAAAATGTATGAAGGCAATAATACACGCGGGATTCATGCTTTTAAGGGGAATTTAGGGAGCTAATTCAAATTTCAATATGTAGTTGAGTTGCCATCCTGTTAAACACTGTTTTGTCATTTCTTGTTATTTTGTTTGTTATTTCATGATTATCATTAAAAGAAATAAAGGATTGTATATATAAATATTAAGCTAGCCCAAAAAATTAAAAACATAAATAGATAATAACATAGTTACAAAGTAAATTATTGAAAGTTGAATTTCAAATATTTCTCTTAAACAAATCATAAAAATTGTTTTCTTGGTTGCTTCAACTGCATCGTGCGTTCTTTGTGTCTATCCGTAGTAGGTAACCCTATTAAACTTCGCAATGTTCTAGTAAACATTGACATGTTGCAGTTACATGCAGTTGCTCGTTTGGAATTTCGGGTCCCCAATGCGCTTCAACTTTCTACTTTATTTGGCTCTTTTAAATGAATGTTAGATTCGAGCGTCATTAATGTGTCTTTTGTAAACAAAACGCGCGTCTGGCGTACATCATTTAAGCCTGCTATCTAAGAGTTTATTTACAACCACTGGGTCGATGATTAATTACTACTGGTGACTACTGGTGGGGGTTTCCTACCCGAGGATATCACCAGCCCTGTAGTCAGCACTTCTGCGTTGACATGAATTATCAATGATATGGGCATAGTTATAAATTAACTGTTTACTAAACATTGCATTTTTACAAATACTACGGCTTTTCTCCCCCGGGAGTAGATAACCTGAGCTGTATTTGACAAAACCTTTCATAATGTTGGGTACTCAATGCTCTCCAACTTCATGCTTTATTTGGCCTTTTTAACTTTTTTGATTCGTGTGTCACTGATGAATCTTTTGTAGACGAAACGCGCGTCCGGCGGACAACATTTTAAGCCTGGTATCTATGAGGATTGTAATTACATTGACTTACAATCTGTTTCTTTTGATTTGAAAATTCTAGCAATTCGCAATAATTATAGTTCTGATAAGACTTCCTAAATAGTTAAATTGTTATATATAGAATAAATAGCTATGAAGAAAACAAAATACTGGGTATGTGTCTCACCAACAATTCAACCAATTATCACCAAGAATGTTTTGTAAAAAAAGTCAACCTCTTACAAAATATAGCATTGTTCATATTGCTGCGTTATGCCCAACTGTTGTTGACCTGGCAGCGATTTTTGGGTAATTTTCACACTTTATTTTCATACTAAAGAAGAACGAGATTAATTCTATTGCGTTATTTTTTTAATCACAAAAGTCACATAAATAAGTTGTTTGCCAAAATTAGTTGATTTGAAGTATTGTCTTTTCCAAAACTAACTTAAAACCTCTAAAACTTTATCCAAACAATAATTTGAATAAGTAAAATCGTTTTTTTTACATTCCAATGCTTTGCATGTTATAATCTGTTCGTTTGGTTTTTTTAATGGTGAGAAGATCTCATAACTGCAATATGTGTCTGTTATAATTTGATCTTAACAAAACCATATAAAATTTTATGTTTAAATGTGAGATAAAGAAGCGTTACAAATGAGATCACTTACAACTAGGACTGTAATGGTAAATTTAAATTACTTGCTATTTAACTCTATTTGAATGTGTTTATCATGAATAAAATCCCTTCCTGTACAATATGCAAATGTGCACTTGAAAACGTTAAACTTCACTAAAATTTACCAAGCGATGTATTGCTCATTATAAAGTTTTTTAGACTAATGGATGGACATATGAATGGAAAGAACAAAACACAAATGGGCGTAGGGACAAGATAATTCCTACCTTTCCGATAAACACCATGAACAAAGCGAAAAAAGTAGGACAGACAAACAACAGTTCTCAAAACGCTACACAGAAATGTACTAACACTACCTTAAACCAGTGGTAATTGAAGTTGGTCAGGAAGGGTAATCCACCTTCCACAGTATAAAACTTCAGTCATTTTTGAAAAAAACAAATGATATACTAAATAAGTATGTAATAATGTGCTAACATAAATTATTTGTGATGTAAAGCGTGTGGTGCAAACAGTATTTGTTCGAATATTGAACGAGAATAAACATCTTAATATGTCTTTCACTTTCGACATCGAATAAAACATATTTCTATAATATATCACTTTTATTAATCCTTTTTTAAATATGGTAAATTATTTTCATTTGATATTTATGGCATGGTATTGGTTGCAAAAATTTGATATATTTCATTTAAATGCAATATTTCATATTTAATTTGTATATTTCTTCATTTAAATGCAATATTTTTTTATTTGAATGGTATATTTTTTCATTTAAATGCAATATTTTTTATTCAAATGGTATAATTTTTCATTCAAATGGTATAATTTTTCATTCAAATGGTATAATTTTCATTCAGCTGCAATAGTTTTTATTCAATTGGTATAAAATGTCATTTGAATGCAATATTTTTTATTCAATTGGTATAGTAGTTTTTATTTATATGCAATAATTGCATTATGGGAAATTCTTTGACGTCATAAGGTCAAATTTGCAACAACGTTTGTGATTGGTCGGAAATTGTTTTGATTTCTACCCTTTCTTTCTAAACATGGGTGACCAAGAATTAAAAAACGCGTCAGAATATCGTCCCTCTAACTAAATCTAACGTTCGTGCGAGTCCTGCACTGGCTGTTAAAATCTTGTGGTCATAACTAGTATTTCTATTGCAAAATTTCGATGGTCAAAACGTTCGGTCCACTTTTTAAAAACCGTTTCATTGTATATGGATTTATATGCAAATATATCGGGTTTTTTTATAGATTAGACACTGTTGCTTTTTCCGTTTGAATGGTTTTACACTACTAATTTTTTGGGGGCCCTTTATAGCTTGCTGTTCGGTTTGAGCCAAGGCTCCGTGTTGAAGACCGTACGTTGACCTTCAATGGTTTACATTTACAAATTATGACTTGGATTGAGAGTTGTCTCATCGGCACTCATACCACATCTTCTTATATCTATATACAACGTAAACCAGACGTTTCTCAGACTGTTTTCTTTTTTTAATAAATCCTTTGCCGCGCGTTGTGTACTGATTGATAACTCAGTCTGGGAGAACAAGATTTATTTCGGTACCAGTTGTAATTAGGTTTGAGCAAACTTCCAGTAATTGCAAATACTCTTATGTCGGTGCTTTGTGTCTATTGTCTTAATGTTAGTTTTTTTGTGTGTCTCGTACCGATCTTTTGAGTTAATTGCTGATTTGTGCAGGTTGTTATTTTATTGTACTGTTACACCACTGTCCCAGCTTCGGGATGGGTTGCTCACAAACATGTTGTTGTACTGTTACATCGCTGTTCCAGATCAGGGGAGGATTGGGATCCCGCTAACATGTTCAACCCCGCCACATTCTGTATGTATGTGCTTGTCCCAAGTCAGGAGCCTGTAATTCAGTGGTTGCCGTTTGTTGCTTTGTTTAAATATTTGTGTTTCGTTCATTTTTTTGTACATTAATTCGGCCGTTAGTTTTCTCGATTGATTTGTTTTACATTTTTGATTTCGGGGCCTTTTATAGCTGACTATGCGGTGTAGGCTTTGCTTATTGTCGAAGGCCGTACGGTGACTTATAGCTGTTCATTTCTGTGTCATTTGATCTCTTGTGGAGAGTTGTCTCATTTGCAATCATACCACATCTTCGTTTTTATATCCACCCTGCCATATTCTTTATTTGCCTGTCCCAGGATGGAGCCTGTAGTTTAGTGGTTGTCGTTGGTTTCTGTCTCGACTCATATTTGATATTTTGTAAATTGTTTTGTTATGTATAATTAGGCTGTTAGTTTTTTCGTTTGAATTGTTCACACTTTTCATGTCGGACCTTTTATAGACGACTTTACAGTATCAGGTTTTTGTCATTGTTGAAGGCCTTACGATTGTCTACAAAAAGCATTTGTCTACATGACGGCAAAAAGCTCTACAGAGCTTATGTTTGTAGTATTTCATGTAACCCGACTTAAAATAATT